TCATCAATTAGTAGGCGCAGTTGATCATCGGTCCACATCACAAAAATTTAATTTCAACGGATGTTCAACTGAGATATGATATTTCTATACGTTTTTATAAGAAAAAAAATCATCGTGCCTTCAACGTACCTTCATCGTGCCTTCATCGTGCCTATATTACATCTTAATTATGAGTTAACAGATATACATAGTCTGATCGTGACAAATTTGTCACAGTTTCCGCTATTTCATTAATATAATAACACATCTCGGATTTGTCTATCTCGGACGGACAATCTCAAATGGTGGGTGTCGTACATCCCTATCGCTGGAAAATTAAATCATACACCCGAAATAGATTTTATGTGTCAGATATGGAACTTCTACGGCAATATAGCGAGCCTCGATCTCAGAGTACTTTTTTCTAAGTTCAGAAATCTCAGCCAAAAGCTTCGAATTTAATTCTTTCAATGAATCGATTTTAGATTCTGTATTTGCCATTTTATATATATATACGGATATATTCAATTAACCATACAAAAAATCACGTGTAAAGATTCTTCACGCCGAGTACTTTCACCAAGAAAAAATTTTTCGCTTTTATTGTTACAAATAAAATATATAAGGCTAGGACAAAATTTTATATGATAAACTATATAAATTATATTGTGAACTCGTACAAAAAAAGATTATATAGTTTATGAAAATTGGAATTGCTATCCGCAAGTGCAATTGGTAATACATTTACAAACAAAATCAACTGGCGAAGGAGGAGAAATAACTTGATTAACACCAGCTGTAATTACGGCTGTAGCCACAATACCAACGGTTGTTCCAACGGCTGTTGCAGTTCTGGGGTTATTATCAACAAAATTTGTGACCTCATTAACTGCATTTTTGACTTGTTCCTGAATAGCGGTGGTAGCAGTGCCAAGAGCTCTACCTACTCTAAGAAAGAAAAGGATATGAAGAATTTAACTAAAATAAAAAATAATAAAAGATTGTAAAAAATAAATCTTACGGATTGGATGACATTTCGTTGAAAAATATTTGTAGTATATTTACGAAACTTACGTGTAGAAAAAACTCATAGGAAGGAAACCAATCTACTAAAATTAATGAAATAGAACTGGCTATTAAACATTGACGCTTTTGAAATTCATGACTATTCTTCAATGATGGTTTTGACGCCAATTTGCATACAATGCATAATGAAAAAAACTTTCCACAAAGATCTTAATTATAGAATACAGGTATACAAGTAATGAGTTTCGCTCCAAATAATATATGAGGAGTTACGCTAAATTTGTAATTGTTCACAAACCTCCACTTCGGGCTTCACTTTTCCATTCCGCCTCTGTGCGCATTTTATTTATTTCGTTTTGCAGAGATAAAATATCTTGTTTAAGTTTTTGTATAGTTGGATCAACTGGGGGGTGTAATTGGGGTCGGAGGTGAAGATGTTGTTTTTCGGACCGAAAATAATAAAATTGCGATGATGACGTAAATAAACACATTTTCCCCAGCAATCGTGTAAAGTATTGGCGATAATACGATTTACGGATTCGTTTACAAAACTTGTGATATGAGAAATGTATTCGGTTGCACAATACGTGTATCACATTACTTTTCGGCAGAAATTTTCCCGACTCATATCGATATGCTTGTGATACACCCGAAATAGATTTTACACCCGAAATAGATCTATCCCCACACCCGAAATGGATTATGCAACGATTATCCCAAATGTAGATTTATCCACACACCCGAAATAGATTTTATGTGTCAAAAATAGATCGTAATATATCTACAATACATGAGCGATTTATATATAAATATCGCTACAAATAAATCTTTAGAATCGACTCTAAACTATTGCAATATAATGATGATGCAAAGCATCAAATCTCCGATTCCCCTTCGGGTCTACAATTATCGATATAACCCAATATGCATCTCTCCCATTCTCATCGTATATATCACTCGCAAAATATGACGAATATACACAACTCATCTAATAACCCAGGCCCTATGGGACACTCTTCGAGCATCTGTGCTAAAATTGAATCATATATTCTTATCCTATAGAGAACCAAATCTAATAGGTCTAAATCCCTAAATTCGATATAAATCACCAATTATGTCAGGTCTTACTATTATGACTATTATCGATAAAAAAGCTAAATCAGTAAAGCTCATTAATAATCATCCTGGATATGATATGAAATATGTAACGTCATATATCTACAATTATTATGGAATTAGTGATTATCAACGATACTTTGATGATCTTTATGAGACTGAAAGATGATATGATACCTTATCAGTTATCTGACCTGATGAAACTTCACGACAATGGGTGTAACAGTTTGTGCGCCATTGTGACGCAATTCTTTTTTTTCCTTTCCTCTCTTCCTTTTTCGTAAGTGGCTTTTCTTTTTGTGTTTTTTTCGAAGTTTCTTTTCATGTGTCGTCTCCTTTTTGTTGTACATCGTCTCCTTTTTCTTTTCTTTTTTTTCCTTGTACAAATTTGTTTTCATTTTTGGTATAGATTGATAGTTAACTTAAATAATATATAAAGGTTAGTTTTCTTGTAAAAATAGCTTTCAAGTTGCTTGTAGCTCTTCGATCTCAATAAAATAACCCAATAAAATAACAACTTCATTGTTTTCTTGTTGGAAATGACAAAACTCTTACAATGGGCTATTCGGGTCAGAGTTCCTTTACAAGAGCTGGTTTCCGAAAAGAAAAGAAGTGTATATCATGTACATTGTTTATTTGGTGAATTTGGAAAGTCTAAGCTAATTAATCATAATTATTACAGGCCTAGAATTCATAAAACCAATGTAGCAATATGCTTAGATTGTATGAAACTTATTCATATTGATAACATAAAACCAAAAAAATTATTCCATTTTACTAGGCAGAGGTATGTTGATTGTCTCAAATCTAAAGATCTAATGCAGGAACATTGGAATTACGAGTGTAATAAACCAAAGACTGATTTTGGAAAAGCAAGAATTATACAAATAGCTTACCGAATAGACCCGAATCATTAGCAACCAAAGCTTGGAATACACTGAGAGATGATAATACTCCAGATGATGAAAAGTTTCTAGATTTAACGAGACGTAAAGTAAAAAATCCTCAAACTCAAGATCAATTCAATCAGTGAAGAGCTGAAAAAATTGCAATATATAAAAACGATCCTATAATGCGCAGTTCCATTATTAATAGACAATATGAAGAATATTATATTCCGGATAATTGGATAAGTTCTAAAAAAAATTAATTGCAGGTTAGATTCTGAAAGCGACTTTTAGAAATAGGAGCATAGACTTTAGACTTTATTTCATTATCCTGAGGGCTGGTAACATTTTTTACTTTAATTTCTATATACATTTATTTTATCTGACACAAAAAATTCCCTCTGTACAAATAGAATTTATTTATTTTTCAACATCTACTTCAACCTTAATCAGGTTGAATACTGATAATTATTTCATTTAAAAATAGTAGTGAATAAGATACCGAAAACATTCATCTCAATTCCAATCACGGCTGGATACGGACAGCTTCTTAATAGAAGTGGTGAGTAAGATATACTTATATTATTATATAAATAAATAACTGAAAAAATAATTATTCGATTGTTATGCCTTATTTTATCTGATTTCAAAGTATTATATCTTCTGAAATCTCGTTCTGATTAGGCAGAATGTTTATTATTTTTTAATCTCTTGATCTCCTTTTCTAGATCAAGAGAGGTGTCTCATTGAAGTGAGAAAGATTCAGGTCTGGGTTTATTCAAATCTATAATTATAAACTCTTTTTGTCTCAAATAACTGTCAATAATTTTTGAAGCTTTTTGTGGATCTATATCAGTGTAAGGACTTATAATATCTGCAAGTTTTTGAATAGAGTCCTCACTATTAAAGAAAACAATGTGAGTAGCATTTTCACGAATATCTATTGGGATTTTGTGGAATTTCTGAGCAACATAAATTGAGAAAATATTCTCATGACGATCTCGAGTGAAAAATGAAATAATTTTTTTCTGTATAGCTGGAGGATCAGAGTAAAGATCTTCAAATATCACTAATGTACTTCTTTTAGCATTAAACTTTTTGGGATCTGGAATTTTATCAGGAGATAGTGTAGAAAATGTGACATCTTAATAATAGGACTTTGATTTGTCTTGGGCAAGATATTTATAAAAATCTCGAACTATTTTATATTTTGGCTCATTTAAATGATGCCTGAAAAGAACTACATCATCGCATTTAATATTGCATTCCCCTATCTTAGAATACTTTTTCTTCTTAAATATGTAATAAAATTTGGACATTATTAGCAAGTTTAAATTCATATTGGTCTTACCTGAATTGCTAGCCCCTGCCATCATGATATGAAAAGACCATGCTGGTGCATCTTTATCTTCCTGGTATTTTTTTGAAGGTTTTACCTCATCCACAGCAAACACACAATATAACATTTTTTTGTTATAAATATATATTATGTTTTTTTATTCTGATGAATAATTTGATTTTGACACACTATTTATATTTGTATTTGGTAGATAATCTTTCTTTTGCAATTTGCTTTTTATATATGATAATAAATCAATATCATACAGTATTAAAATAAGATCTAAGCCTTGTTTCTTACATATTTTCAGCTTTTTTGGTCGCGTTGCCTTTGCTGATCCAAATCAATTTGCCTACATTTATAAAATATTGAATTAAGACTGTAGTGTTGAACTCTCTGAAATTTGAATACCAATTTTAATTCTTCATTATATCCATCTAATTGCATCTTATTCAAAAATGATGGTTTACAAGATGGATATTTTTTACCTAATAGATCTTTAAAAATATATCGAGCAGATCTCTCACCTTTATTATGTTAACATAGGAGGCATCACTCAAATTTATCTGCGATCAATGGATATGGATATTCTTATTGATGCTTTCCATTTTCACATGATCAAAGAGATATATCAAAATCATTTATTTGATTAGTTTTATCAAGATATTTCCCACTATACTTCTCAGCATAAGCAGTACTTTAGCTATTTTATTAATAATATGAATAAAATTAACAGACCTGGAACGAGTGTTTTCTTCCAATATACTCTGGGATGGATACTGGAGTGTATTTATATTTATGTGCATAAGCTCTTCTTTCACAAATTCACGCTTTGGAGCATATTCATTGTCATCATCTCTGAGATAATATAAAACTGGTTCATTCTTCATTACAACAATTTTGCGGATTTTATGAAGGCTTGGTGAAAATGTCGGGTCCGTAACTCTTTTCTGATTTTTTATACCACCTTCTCATTCTGCATTAACAAGCAGATAGTGAACTGTATCATCTTTCTTCAACTTATTCTCCTCATATTTTCCAACAGGATGCTTAAACTTTATAGATAACCTAGATTCTACTCATTCCAGTTTAATAGCTTTTATTGGTGCTAACTCCCACTTCAAGGATCCAGGAGCTCTAATAAGATGCGTTGGATAATTATTAAGTGTAACAATTTTCACATACCCTTGTAATTTCTTGTATCATGTTTATCTTTTTTCATGTTATGTTTATCATTTTCTTGCATAACATGTAGAATTTAACACAGATCTACATTAATACTTCTTAATGGAAATGTAGATCATATTATTAATTACTTTTATTTTTATTCGTTCTTTTTCTTTTTCTTTTATTATTTTTAATTCATATTAATTATCTTTTATTATTATTTA